ACCACAAGAAAAAATCTCAACACACGCTTTGTATCAATTCCAAGCTTTTCCGGTGTCGTACAATCTATATTTATCTAGAGGTGCAGAAATGACTTCGATGTTTTCATCTCGCGTTTTCTTATCTCATATTGACGCTAATTACTGAAATAAAATCACGGATTTTTTATATCTTTTGTAAGTTTGAGGTGTGCAGAGTTCGTTTTAGTTGAAATTTATGGATAGTGAAAGGGAATGTATGGTCACACAACATAGCAATATCATTTAATGTAGAGGGGATAGTCACTAGTAATATTTTTGGTCCTTTTAAGTCATAAAAATGTTTGATGTAGTCAATTTTTTTCGTTTGTTGAATAATCCTGGTCGATTTGATACCGCAGATCGTTTTTATCGCGGGACCATGTAAGCCATTATCCATACGCATCAAAGAGGCCATTCTTTGGTGCGTTCTGTATTATTAATAGTCTCTGAGTTACATCAATAAGATTCTTTGTTTATCTGTTCCTTTTGCCGGCTCAAGTTTTCGTGTGCCTCATTAATATTTCGAGTACCTACACCAGGATACATTTTGTCAATCCATGTCAGTTAGGGATTATTTCTCTCGCATTTTATTGCTTGTGGTCCTAATTTGTATCGAAGGACCACAAAGGACCATAATGGAAATAGTTGCTACGTACCTACGCCAACATTTTATGAATATTTTTTAGGCAAACGAAAGTGGTTTGTATATTTTTGCAGCGATTACTCTATCTAATCATTTTTTGTTGCAACGTGATGCAAACGCTGGTGATATAACGCGGCCTTGACTGAACTTATCGACTCAATCTTTCCATGCACTGACACATATTTTTAGCAGCTTTACCTTCCTCTTGTATGTTTTAATTATGTTTACAATTGTTAAATTATTTGCCGTCAAGGCCATTAATATTTCAGTATCCGTTTCTTTAAATCCAACGTGGTAGACCCTTTTACAGTCAATAAAACTTTAGTACATACCTATGCAAATCATGTTCAAACATTTAGTTCAGAAATTAATCTTTAAATGATGGGTTTATGGGAATAAGAAAATATTCGCCCAAAAGAACCAATTTTGGATTTCATCTCTTACTTCTACATTTTCTTTAGTTTTTTGTATATGTTTGATAATTATAACTATGTAATAAGCAAGATGCAATAATTACGATAAGAGTCTGTAATATTTTTTATCACACGAACTGGCCTCTCCACATACAAGTTCAATTATTATGAATGTTTATAGGCATGCAAAAGTGTTAAGCCTATATTGTTTTGTTTAACTAATTCCAATTAAGTTATTTATACATTATTTACATAGATAAAGGATTTCATCAAATGTATCAGTATCTACTTATTGCAGTAAACTAGAGTTAATGCCTCAGTTTTGTATTAATAATACAAAACAGTTTGCATTCGCATCTTTAATTAATTGCAGATGATACATTGATATCAATCGACCTTAGGTTACAAGACTACTCTGGTCACGGGCAGGGCAGGTTTCAAAGATAATAAAATAATTAGTTTATGTTAATGCTTCCGCGATCAATTTTGATACTAATTCATTAGGATGCTTGATTCTAAACCAAAACTATCCATATAACCACATTGATTATTTGATTTAATTGAATATTACCTTTATCTTCCTTAACAACAATTATGTAATATCATATCAGACAGTTGTTAGTCACACAATTTACATAGATCTGTGATCAAATTGTATTGAGGACTAATGCGGCGAGCCTTGATAAAAAAACGTGATGTCTATCGTCACCTTTTAGTGAAGTCTTAGCGTCTGGTCTAGACCGATAGATGCAAGCCAATGTTGTTTTTACTGCATTAAGATTTCACACAAACGCAGCGGCCACACCGTAGATAAAAAACTGGCGGAATGCGATATGCAACGTTAAAAATACTCGATTATCGCGTCGGCGGCAACCACAGACCCTGTACCAAAATTAAGAAGTCATGACTTCAACCAAAATTTTCATAGTTTATGCAGTTCGGTAACTATTGCTGCTCCACTTAGAAGTAACGAAGTAGAAGGCTTCTCAGCCCGAGCAATATGCTTGTAGCACGCCAATGTTTTCGGCGAATTCAAATAATTGACTATGGGTGGAGTGAGGCGGGAGTGAGGGGGGGCTCGAGCGGGAGATTTGGCTGTTGGCCTTGACAATGAACCGGCGGCGCGCACACAAGTGCGACTTTATTTGTATTTGAAATACACGCACACACACACAATTAGAAGCTGTTCCACGAATTGCCTCCTCCCACACAATTAAACATTAGGGCTGTCTTAGGCAAATGATTAATGTAAGATCAGAGCACAGGAAGTCTGTCTGATCAGGAATCGGACAAAAACGTAAAAGGGTGCATGTTTTTGTTCGTTTCAAAATTTGAGTAAAAACTGTGGTGCTGTTGAATCTGAATTTAATCAGAATTAAAACTAGCTGGCAATATTTTACGGCTACAATCACAATGGAAATGAAATGTAATGCAGTGGCCAGTCTTAGTATATCATTCTTTATCTAAACCACTTTATCATTGGAATTGACCATCAGCATTTGATAAGAAGCGATATTCGGAACGCTTTAAAGTGAAAATAATAATATTTCAGACTGATTTAATGTTAAATAATATGTCATAATATTAGGAGCGCGGTATCAACCCTAGCCCCAAAAAAGCTAACAAATTCAGTCAGGCCCGGCGCGCCGTCGCCGCGTGCCTGCCCTAAGACAACCTATACATAGACAGCCTAGGGCCCGACGGGATGTTTATCGATAATGCCGAAAGATTCCCCACTAACGAGTCTTGAGTCTGGCTTGTGTTTCAAAGCCTGCGTATAACTTTATCCTTTTGTTTGCTTGTACAATTTGGGCTTTTGGAAACCATAACATTCCCTTTGACTTAATGCAACTTGCCAGTTAGAGTTTATGAAAATATTCCGTCACAATTTCTAAATAAAGGTGTCGTAGGTAAATATTGAATTGTGAAATATGTACGTAATGTTGTCAACGATAAATAATCAGATAAAGCAGTAGCGTCGGTAAAAGAATTAGGTAATTGGATTTATATAATTGTAGAGAGCCAAAATTGGCAACGGACCTCAAGGCCACTGTCTCATACTGAGCTAGACGGTAATATTAATAAATCCTGCAGGTACAAATTAACTACGTACGTATGGTCACGTTTTTGTCTGTCTGCCTTGCCTTTTGTCTATGACATCATTATAACTACAGCTCCATTTAACTGTTTCTTTTGTTGTAACGTTTAACTGATCTAGGTTCAGTTTTTTGTTAATTTAGATTCCTCTGGCGTGTGCCTTTTAACTTGTGTGCTTCGTTTTAAAGCTCTTGGCGTTTCTTTGTGTTGTTTGGTTCTTGTAGGCTGCACATATTTATATTGTCTTCAGTTTTAGAATTAGGTTTTGTATGTAAATTATGAGTTGTAGCGTCCTTGACTCGACGAGCATATGTCAGGATTTCATTTTCATCTAGTGATTTTATTTTTGTATTTTGCGTTTTGATTGATTTTGCAAACTTATGTTTATAGTCCTCAATTGCTTTTATGAATTTTAAAATGTTGACATTTTATTTAATTCTAGTGGTCAAATCATATGATGAATGGTTCTACTGCCAGTCTTTTAAATTGCTGCCCGATTTATTAGGCGGGTAAATAATTACAATAGCTTTGAAAAATATGCCTTAAAAAGTTTATTATCAAATCACCATCGCAGGTCATTCTCTGTCTAGCTTTAATGGCTATTAATGTATTTCTTTACATGATTCGAGGGCTTTCACGTAATAATTTGGTTCGAAGATAATTTTCTGATAATGTCACTTTGGATAATTACCTGAAAATTAGTTGACCCTTGGAATTGTGAGCCCAGCGGAATTTATTGACTCTCTCGTGGAATTTTTCCCAGACAAACAAGAGCAAATTAGGTTTGGATAAAATATATATTAGATATAAAGTAATGACTTTCAAGATGGATATTGAAGATTGTCTAAAATGTCTCATCTGTGTCCATGATATAATGGTACCTACATCTGTTTTTATTCTTAACTAGCTTCTGCCCGCGACTTCGTACGCGCAATCCCGATATTTCCCGTTCACGTTCTTGATTTTCGGTAAAAAGTAAAAAAAAGAATTGGGTAAAAAGTATCCTATGTCCGTCTCCTGGTTCTAAGCTACCTCCCCACCTATTTTCATCCAAATCGATTTAGCCATTCTTGAGTTATAAATAGTGTAACTAACATGACTTTCTTTTATATATATATATATATATTAATTAACAAATGTGTGTACCTGTTCCTTTATCGGTCCAAGTAGTATTCTCTTCGTGGAAACGTCTACTATTTAGATCACTTCAATGTAATACTACTTATTATACTAGTACAAAACATGAGCGATAAATGTTATTTACAATTATCAAAGCAATAAAATTAACACTTGTCTCATCATTATCTTATTGAAATGTTTGGTTGCGTAACATAACGTTTTGTTTAAATTTTTCGTACAAAATCTGTTGTTGTTGTAAATCTACAATAACATATGTTTACAAAACTCCAAATTAGCATAGTTTGTTTCATTTTAAAAAGGTTTAAAGTATTCGATAATATTGAAAATACGATGTTGGCGCGCTCAACCAATGGCGCACGCCGTCCCTTGGCAGCGCTTCAGGAAAATTAATGTTTTGCCTTTATTCGTCGGTTTGTATATGAAGGGACCAATCTGAAAAGCGGTAAGCACGTGGCGAGCCGTTGGGCGGCGCATGCGTATTCTGTGATAACTGGTGGGGCGGCGAGGCGGGGCTTGCGTACACGCACTGCGTGCGCACAGTGCGTGCGAGTCGCTCAACGCGCATCAAGCATATCCTCCACTGCGCTACCCGCAAAATCCATAACCTTTAAATAATAACGTACAGAGTGCGTTGAACTCCGTTGTTAGTGTTCAAGTGCTGTGTTTTTGTTACAATAAACACATAAAAAATGTGTGCGATAGAGGAGCCATGGTTGTTTTCCAATATAGTCACCACATTGGAAATGATCGAATCTTCTCACAATGTGAGTACTAAAGCCCATACAAGTTTGGAAGGCTATTGTTTGATGAATCTTTATACCTATTTTACAATACTCATGCGATCGTTCAAATGCTAGTATTTGTTTATTTGTGTAATGTTTGCATCAGTATGTAAATTGATGCATTTATAAAATTGTGTATTTCAGGTGCAATCTAATTGCCATCAAACAATCTCTTCCTTATTTATGTCGACCAAAAATTGCGTGGCATATCTACTACCTAATTAGGCACTGAAATGAGATGGATAACGTCGGCGAACTTGTACTTATAGATAACGAAAAGACAGCAAAATTCTACGTTTCCAATGTTTGATCTTTGACCTATAAATTGGAATAAAACATGATGACAAATAAACATAATAACGAATGTCTTTAAACGTGACGTTTAGTGATAAGAGCTGTTGTTTATATTTATTTGATACCTACTATATACAATGTTTGTAAGTACGTAAATGCTAAAATAGATACAGGCCTATTGAGAGAGGTACTAGTTCATACAATTTTAACTTAAAAGCTTGATGTCACGGTCAAAAGCTTCAGATGAATCCCAGCAAAAATGGTTTAAAAATATGAGAGATATAAAAACCTACAATTCTGTCTCATTTCAAATGGTCCCTATTTTCGTCTCCCAATTCTAAGAATAAACTCACGCCCATACCTTTGTTAGCCAAATCTAAAATATGACATTTTAACGTCTCCAAATTTTTGATCTTAGGACCAAAAATATCAAAATATAAATATAAACCTAAAGTTTCAATGAGATTTAGTTTCGGAAGCGTTTCTACTAATAATATTGTTTACACGTGCCGACGAGTGCATTGCAAAATAGACGATAATAAACGAAACTGCATTTTGTTGGCCATTTCAAAGTCAAATGGCCGTTGAACCGTGTTCAACACCTACTTGTTGCACATTTTTATCTACATATTCCGCTTATTTGATGGCTGACTCCGATAGTTCTGTATTTTCTATTAGGTCAAACAGTACTTTATATGCTAGAATTAAATTAGTATTTGCTTCCTGACCTTTCAAAATATCCTTCCGGACGTCAATGCTATTAACTTTGTCCGTTACAAACCAATTGTTTCCGAGAGGTTCAAAATTTTAATTTCAGTACATTGCATTATGTAGGTAGTATTGTTAATAAATCATGCATATTGAGCTATGTGTAATTACAGATTTGTAAACAATAGTGAATATTAAAATTGGATGCACTCTCGTTGGGTTCGGTGGTTATAGGTAGAGTATTTAAAATTTAAATTCGGAAAATTTGTACTTACTACCTAGTATATTCAAGTCTTCATTGTTTACCATTTTATGCCCTTCTTTAGACATTAGAGCTCTATTTAAAGAATTTAAATATAGATTATAGGTGTATGTAATGTACGTAACAATATTACCTGCCTTATCGTCGCGCGTGATAGTTGTCCCAGACAATGACAGCTCTTGTATTGTGACGCCATATTAATTGTCTGCGTCATTGTAAGTTTTCTCTTACATCGGTACATAAGAGTTAAGATAAATGACAGTCTCAAGTGTATTTATATAAATGTTCATACCTAGGATTATGTTAATATTCCGAACAAGAGAATGAAAAATTATTTTAATGGTACGAATAATATGTCATACACGATATCGCTGTGACCTTTACTCTTGGTATTTAAACAAAACTCTATAAAATAAAAAGTACAAAAGTGTCGAAACATGAGTAGGTAGGTGTTTTTGATCTGAACGAGGGCTACGCACCTATTTTACAGCATAAGCCATTAGTATAAATAAATAACACATGACGATAATATTTATTAGGCATGTATTCCAACACATCTAAACATGTACCTAATTGTACCTATGATTGATTAATTTACCTTAGGAGTCTAGAACCAAATTAGATTACGTATAACAATATAAAACGGTCCTATCGGACAAAGCAATAAGAAGACCGCTTTTAGTTTGGCATAATGAAAAGATGGAAAGGCTCTAAGGTAGTCTATTTTTACCCAATAAGCATTAGGATTACGATCCTCACAATGTTGATTCTTAAGTGTTCTAAAATTTTGAAGAGGTTGAGCTTAGACATGCTTAGAGAGCATTATTAAATCAATCAATAATTTTGGGTGACACATGGCACTAGCCCAGATTTTCATAATGTTAAAACGAAAATATACACAAAATACGCTAATAAATAACAGCCAAAACATTCTTTCAAAATTAGCTGTATCCCGAACACATTGTTTCGTTATTTGCGTCACCGCACGTTGCATTGTTTTTATCGCCAGCCATTTTTGAAAACAAAATATCTTGAAAACGCATTGCGTCATTTTATGTAACAGTGCGACGAGCTTTGAATTATTTAATACCAACGGTGTTTGACCGTCTCCTGACAAACCACACCAGATTCCCAAATCAGGGTTAAAACATGCGTCTGCATGACTAAAAAAACTTGTTTGTTGAAGCTGATACGCATTGCGCACACGCTGAATATTCTGGTCTAGTGAATTTGTGTAGTCAAAGTAGTGGTGCGGATGAGGCATCGTTTTTCCGCGGGCTGAGCGGCGCGGGCGGGCGCCGGTGCCGTGCCGTAGGTCGGGCATAGTGTCGACGTCCGCGCAATGTCACCCCGCGCTGAGATATTCGGCTCCCACCCCGCCCGCTCCCACACCCTACCTCGCCTGGCTCGCATCATTTCCGATCCACAATTTGTGGCCTCTTTGATTTTGGTCTGCTTTTTGCTAGGATGGCATCCAGCTTAGGGAAAGCAAGCTTCGATTTCGATCTGTGAAAAAGTTTACTACTTAAGTTGATTATAAAATGCCCCTTTAATTTGGGTCTGAAGAATCGTTGTCAGTTAAGTACCGACGTGGTTGGCAAATGCTCAATTTTGTGCGCGTTGAACATGGTATCTACAGACCCATATTGGGGTAGGTCGTCGCATTGGTGCGTGGTTATGTAACGTCCACGCGGCGTCGGCAGGTGCTTGCAAATCTTGCGATCGTCCGCGTGATATTGGGCGATGCCGGTCGTCGACCCCTCGCTATCTGCGTTATTTAGCCCGGCTCAATGTCGGCGCAATGTCGAAACTCGCTCGAGTTCACGGACCGAGGCGCGAGACGCGTTCCTCACTCAACTGTGTTGTTCGACCGAATTTTTACAGACATACCTACATTGTAGACAGTGTAGATAGTATCGATTCTTGGTATTTTGGTTTTTTCTGATAATAATGGGTTAGTGTATGTACTCAGTACTTCAGGCATTTTTACACCCATGATGTCAACATTATCGACTTATCTACGTTACAATCAATCAAATCGTTTACTTTTAGTTGTGAACTACAAGAAAATGTACCACACATAGCCTTTAGCTTTCGATCTACCCCTATGGAGTGGTATATCATGAAGCATGGCATAGGTATACCGTTGCTCGCACTCGGTCTCTGGGCTGTGGGTCGCGGCGACCTCGGTCGCGCGGAAACCGCGCGGCGGTCAAGGCCGATGTCTAGACGCACCCCCCGCCCGCGCATCCCCGCTACTCCAACCTCCCACCCCACAGAACCAGACTACACCTTCACATTCACACTACCTATTTTTACCTCCACTCCCGAATTTGCCTGGGCAGAGCTTCACAGCTCATTAAATCCTGACCTGCCTAAACATGTACTATCTGCGAGGCTTGACTCAACGTGTTCTGACATGATGATTAGATTACAGTTACATAGCATAATGACTGAATACCAATTTGGATGCTCAAAAAACATGGCGTGTTTACATTTTAAAGCTAGTTCTTTTTTTGGCGTGTTTCCAAACTATTATTGAGCACTTTTACTTTTTATTTCTTTTTTAGAATAGTCGTTCGGTGCGTTTGTTGTTGAATAACTTTAAATGATATAATACATAGAAAAAGCCTCTAGAATTATTGTTGATGACATTTTTGATTAATTTCTTTTTCAGGGCTATAACATTTATTTTTTACGAGATTGTAGATTAATAGACAAACTAGAAATGTGTTTATGAAGTTGAAATAGTAAAAAATTGCGCAACTGCATAGAGGTAGGCACAGACAATGGCAAATTCTCCAAAAACTCTGTCTAGCATCATCTCTTTAGATTTTTCCACTTTGGCATCTCCCCTAAATTATCCTTTATGGTCCTCGTAAAGCGCAGCCATAAAATTGTCATAAAGTGCAAGCGTAGGTACATTATGTTTTCAAATGTATTCGGATGTGAAAATGTAATGAAGAAAACATTGAAAATATTTTTGATCTAAATAAAGTTCCGTTTGGCCTTGCTCTTGAATTTTTTATAAATGCGTCGCAAATACGTGTAGTGATGTAATCGCTCGCGGACCAAGCCCGCCACTGTTTATTCTAAACATAGTATGTGTACCTACAGCCGAAAAACTATATATTATTATATGTGTAGAGAGACAACTAGCTATGTATGCATATTAATTTATTTATGTCTTTTGTATTATACAGTAGTGATCTAACGACTTACATTTGAACCCGGCCTGAACTCTCCGGTTGAAGGGTAAGGAAAGACATGGCCCACTTTTTCTGTAGGGCAAATGTGAGACCATTTTTCGTGCGGGCGTGATCCTTAGATCAATAATGTTCCTAGAAGAGGTCGGTGTTTGGAGTTTCTGATCTCTTATTCTTAAGGGAAAGATGCAAACCTCACGTGTCAGTCAGAAATTTTAATTTAAAAACCCTTAGTATACTTCTTTGCTGGTATATTACATATAGACTGGTTGCGCTTTCAATAAACAATTAATAAAAGTGACTGAAGTGGTCCAATCAAAAAATAACTCGTTTAGAATATTTATGTACGGTTTTAAGTTTTTGTGTATCTATCGAAGCTCTGTATAGATACTAGACCTACCACAAACGCTACATTGTGAGCAATTCACACATCTGTGTAAACTTCGTGATCATTTACTGGTAAAAATACATAATGTAACACGTACGATTTCGTTGTATGCATTTTTATCAAA